GCCTACAATACTCAGAGGTAACATTTAAATTTATTTTCCACAATAGTAGGAATATTAATTTCAAACAGTTTCATCCTTCTGCCATGTGAGTCGCCGTTTATCATTTCTCTTATGTGCGTACGCATGGTTCAGAGTTTACTTACAGGATCGCACAGTCTCTTGTCAAGTCTGTTTTTTATAGATCACAACCTTCGTTTGGGAAGTGGCGTGTACACGCACGTTTCCAGCCCTGTTTTGTACGTACACACCATTTATAAATGAGATCCCTGAGCATGTACAGTCAAGTTACAATAACTTCCTGTATCATGGCGAAACGTGGAACTTCGCAGTCACGCCACCGGCACACCGTTAATTATAAACTTACCAGTTTTACAACATAGCCTCATCAATGTGTTGATATGTCCAACCTGCTAGGAGTAGTACACAGGCATGTGACTGGCAAAGGGCATCACCACCCCGATCAAGCTGGTGGCAGCTCTAGATAAGTGTCTAATCCACTGCGCCATTGCAACCTCTCTCTAATAATTATTATTTTGTATCCATTTTTGCCAAACTTCAACAGCTAAGTGTGCAACATGCAACATAATTGATTCTATAACTAAATAATATAACTAATAACTTTCACTTTGACAGCAGCAAAGGTTGTCGCCTGTTTAAAACCTGGCGGCCTAAAGATACAGTTATATTAGTCAGGAAACAAACAGCTGATCAGTCTCTGTCTGTTGATAAACTGTAGGAAAAAGTTTGACATTTCAACTCTGGCAGCGGGCGTGTGCGTGAGACGAGAACCACCATGACAGTTTCACGGGAGAGGCCGTTGCCATGGTTACCTCGCGAAGGGCTGTTTGCCTGCCCGTTGATGAGGGGCGCAGAGCAACCCCCGCGGATCAAAGCTTTATTAAAAGGCCTCATATAAACCCTGTCACAACCATTCACAAGAAATTAATTTATAACGTGACAAAAACTTTAACATAAGGACAACTTAAAAAGCAACCATTTATACAGCAAAGTGTAGCCTATATAGGCTACATGAGTGATCAATCCACAACAACGTCAAAGTAAACATTAGACATAGTCTCTAACAAGCAATAATCAAAACATACCCAATTTATCCAATCCTTATTGTCAACTCAGTGTTGGGCAAGAAATAATACAGCTACTTACTAGTTACTCAGCATATACTCCTTAAAAAGTAATATATAGTAGTATAGTAATATATATATATATAGTAGGCGGTTTTGAATACAGCCCATGTTTCACCATTGCTTAAACCTAACAGGAAGTCGGCCATTTTGGATTTAATGGTCATTTTTTGCGATTTACACACTCCGTAACGAACTCCTCCTAGGGATTTAGTCCGACTGACTTCAGATTTGTGCTGTGCAGTCTAAACCCACTGACTAAATTGACTAACAATTAAAAGTCGTGCAAACAGTCAGTTTTCGTGGAACGGCTTGCCCGTGGCGTGCAAAATTGGTGATTTGCCATCAAACAGGAAAGCATTGTAACTTTAGTGTACATGTCACCAAATTTGCTGACAACAGGACGTGATCTTCAAGCTCTGGTCTGCAAGCAGCGTTCTTGCAGCTTTAATTTTAAATTTTTCTGCAAAGTAACCTCAATTTTGGGTGCCTAAACATATTCAAACTCACCAAAACTTTGCACATAATTCAGACGCAGCGAAAAATTTCTTATTTTATGGGTTTCGCTCATGGTCGTGGCAAAATTGCTCGCTAGCGCCCCCTATAGAGCAGCCCCCAGATAAAGTTTCACCTACGTAAACTTTTTTAAAATTTCTGTGGCACATGTATCATGTCCAGACGTACCAAAAAGCCTCTTGGAGCGATGTCCTAAATCCAACAGGAAGTCGACCAGTTTGAATTTTACGGCAATTTTTGGATTTACACACTCCGTACTTTAACAAACTCGTCCTACGACTTTAGTCCGATCGACTTCAAATTTCTGCTGTGCCATCATTCATGATGAAAAGTTGTGCTATGTATATGAGTTTTCGTCAATCGGCGTGTCCGTGGCATCGAAAATTGATGATTCGCCGTGAAACATGAAGTTGTTATAATTTTAGTGTGCATGCTCAGATCTGCACCCAACTGTACATGTAGGATGAGAGTCGCGCCCTGAACACATGTACATGCTGACATTCACCCACAGTCATAGCGCCACCTCCGCTGCATGTAATTAATTTAATTTTAATTTAATTTTCAAAAAACACCAAAAGCACATTGCTGCAGTACAAAATCTTTGTTGGGAGTTGCACATGTGCAGTTCCCAGGTAAGGACTACTAGCCAATCAGAAGCAGAGAAGGGCGGGTCGTAAGAAACAAGGTAGTGTGATCCAAATCAAAGCCGCTTCAGACTGCGACCGTAACCTAGCAGATGGTATGAGTTACTCTCGAGTCCACAACATCATTGTTCCACATCTTACCATCAGGACTGAACGCTGAACTGTTGCCGGTGTTCTGACGATCTATGCTGCCTTGCCGAAAAATGCTACCATAGCGCAAATCGATAGACTGGACGCTACTCCGCCCTGCTCCGTTTTCCATTGCAGACAGTACCCAGAGATAGTACGTAGCTGGTCGTCATAGCGACGCCACACACAGGCTTCCCCCTCCGCGCTCTTCAACTCCGAAAATATTCAAGCACATTTTGTTCCGCCATCACTTCTCGTAAAACTGTCTATATTATAATAAACTGTACATATAATATAGAAATATTGAAATCTACACAGCTGATTTCTCACCTCAAAACTTCTCAGAAGTGGATTTAGTGATGAAATTCCATACGAAAACTGTAAAATATAAAACTTTCTGTTACTCGCCTCTGTCTGGTGCAGCAATGATGATGCAGTGAATAGTGAATATTCTCTCTGACCAATCAGCAGTCTGTCTGTTTTCACGTTACATTTTAGTATCCCTCAGCTCGCTTGGAACCTCGACGGAGGTGAGGTGATACGAAAAAAAGTACCTGGAAGCAGGGGTACAGGTGCAACATTTCTACAATGGAAAACCAAACAAAGGCGAGTCGAGCCAAAGGGCCTCCGCTCAGACTAGCTTGGTTTGAGGGCGTGCCTGACCCCGCTAGCCGCTTGGCAAGCTTTATGACGCGTTTTCATTGTGTTAAGGAAGTGAAGGGCTGGACTACAAACGAGCTGTTTTCAAGCGGTTCAGAGCAGAGCTTTCTGTGGGAGATGGGAACTCCCTTTGGGCTGGACTTTGGGCTTTTTCACTTTGCAAACCTGTTACATGCACAAAAAAGAGAAATAACTCAACAAAGGAGAGGGAAAAAGCCAAAAAGCATACCACCTCTTTAAACTCTTCGCCATGACACAGGAAGTTGATGTAACTTCAGTGTACATGCTCACATCTGCACAAAACTTTACATGCTTCATAACTGTCCCGCCCCGAACACATCTACACGCCATCATGTATTTATAGTCGTGTGCTCTAGAGCGCCACAAAGGGGACACAGGTAGCGACGTATAACACCTTCATGCAGCATCCGAAGCGTGTAGCCAATTCATCTGCAATGCGGCTGCCTCACACCCCGCAGTGCTTCAAGTGCAAGGCCCCGCCCAACGCTGCTTACAGCTTTAATTTGAATTTGGTTTAGTTGTTTTTCGTTTTCTGATTCAGAAACCAAAAACGGAAAAACGGCTCTTTTTTTCCCCCGTTTCTTCGGGGTTTTTTTACGAAAAAACAAACTAATCAAAACATACACAAACCACTTTGCCACTGGTGATTGCACATCAGGCACAGTAAATAAAAATCAATAATGCAACATTACATACTAATAATCACAACTAATAAACTGAACATGGAGTCTGAACTTTGTCAAGGTGTCAATCTTAGCTCTCAGCCCTTGAACTTAGACCTGTTAAACCATATTATGTAAATTATTAACCGGTTGACTGTATGACCATTAAAAAGAGGGAAAACCTGACAAAATTACCCTAGGCAGTGTGCACTGCTGTCTGCCAGTGTGTACTCTGATACTACCACCAGGAGTAGCCAATGTCAGAAACTGGAGTGACATTAGCTCAGTCAGACTTTGCTGGGAAACCTCCGGGTCACTAGTTTGAGTCCAGCTAAGACAATTCCTGAAAGTGCACCTGAACCCCTAACTGCTCCCCAGGCGCTGCACACAATGGCTAATTAGGATGGGTTACATGCAGAGAACAACAAATTTCCCCTTGGGGATCAACACAGTATAAGAAAAAAGAAGCCAAAACCCTACATGTGCATTCCTATCCTGAAATTAAAAACTAATACCACTATTGACATTTTTGGACTGCAACTAGTCACAATTCTGTGTTTGAACTTTCTGTTGCTGGCCTTTGTCTGATGCAGTATCAAGTGGAACTAAGTTGAATGAACATCATTTATATGGCGAAATAAATAATGAGTTCAGATGCTATTGTGCTGACCTGAATCATTTATTTCTATCAAATTCAACTTGGCTCCTTTTTTAATTTGTTATTCCCTAAATATTGTTATTGACTGATAAGAATTGAATCCGTTTACATGCGGTTGGCTTCTGATTAGGGGGCATGACAGAAAAAGGTTGAGAACCACTGATTTACATTATTTTGAATATTGTTGATGCACAGGTTGTAAATCTAAAACAATACATAAAACTATGTACAACAGAGCAGCTGTGTCTTATTTCTTAATAGCACCTGGTGTATTTTAAATTGAACCTCCGTTTGCTCCGGGTTTACTTGAGCCAGAATATCCGCAACTACTGCTCCACACCAAGTGTCCTCGTTGTAAATGATAAAATGAAAAGGGCAGGGCTCACAGCGGGCACCTAGTGACAGATATTCAGAAGTGCATGATCACACACCGCAACTTTGCGCTTGATACAAGAGACATGATGCCATTTTTGGCACACACATACCCTCATGTAAGGCACACATCATCAGTCATATATCAAGTCACACTGATATGGTTTTCTTTCTTTTATTAGTTGTCCTGACTCACCTTTGGCACCTCAATTTCCCAGATGATGAGCTCAGAGCTCGGGGAGGCAGTGTGGTTGCTCTGGCTTTCCCCAGCACCCATAGTACAGCCGCTGTCCACTGAGTCCATACTGTTCACATCAGAGCCTGGACAAAAACACACGCACGCACACACAAAATCATCATCACTTTTACCAGCAACATTTACAGCAAAACAGATGTTTTGAGGTCCACTGCTCATTCTGAGCAATTTGTTGACACATACCCGAAATCATTTTAGTTGTGAGACATCAACACGACGACGAACAGCATCTACACTGTATTTTACATCACATGCAGTGAGTTACAGTGGCAGAAAATCTTTAAAATTTACTCATTTACATTCCAATTTCAAGTATTTCAAATTACTGATAATACACACTCCAGTCTGAGTTACAGTTAAGTTTTAGTTAATACAAACAAGCACCCGTTTTATCTGCTTCACAACAAAAGCTTTTCACTTAGTAAACAATTACTTAAATGACTTGGACATTCAGAATTTAAACCTATTACATTCTATAATAAAAAGAGGTTCGTTTCATAATAATAATAATAATCCTTATTTGTAGAGCACTTTTCAAAAACAAGTTACAAAGTGCTTTAACAAGTGTAAAGAATAATACAAAAAAAGATAAGAGCATGAAAATTTAATATAAAATTAGTAAAATACAATAAAATAAAAGGGATAAAATAAAGTCAAATAAGATCGGGAAAAGCTCTCCTATAAAAGTATGTTTTAAGAAGGGACTTAAAAGAGTTCACTGACTCAGCCGACCTGATTTCCTCGGGCAGGCTGTTCCAGAGCCTCGGGGCCCTGACAGCAAACGCTCTGTCCCCTTTAGTTTTCAGTCGAGATTCTGGAACAGACAACAGACCTCTGCCCGAGGATCTCAAGGTACGTGCTGGTGCGTATGGGACTAAAAGGTCAGAAATATAACAAGGCGAGAGGCCATGAAGAGCTTTAAAAGTGATCAATAGAATTTTAAAGTCAATTCTAAAACATACTGGGAGCCAGTGTAATGAAGCTAAAATAAGAGTAATGTGGTCATATTTCTTTGTTCTGGTTAAAAGCCTGGCAGCTGAGTTCTGGACAGTCTGGAGTCGATCAATAGATTTTTGGGTTAAACAGGTGAAAAGGCTGTTGCAATAATCCAGGCGTGATGAGATGAAGGCGTGTAAAATGGTCTCGGTGTCCTTAAAAGTTAACATAGATCGAATTTTAGCTATATTTCTAAGTTGATAAAAACATGATTGAACAAGCTTTGTGGTGTGCTGCTCGAAATTTAAATTACTATCAAACCAAACACCAAGGTTCTTTGCCACAGGCTTAATGTGATTTACTAGGGAACCAGCAGATGGCAGTATTTGATTTGCCATCTGCTGGGACCCGATGACCAGGATTTCTGTTTTGTCTGAGTTCAGCTGGAGGAAATTATTTGACATCCATTTTTTAACTTCACAAAGGCAGTTGTTAAGTGAACTCAGCATTCCAGGATCTGTGGATCTGACGGGCAAGTATATTTGTGTGTCATCAGCATAAATATGAAAAGAAATGCCATGTTTATGGATAATATGTCCAAGGGGAAGCAGATACAAGGAAAACAAAATGGGTCCTAAGACCGACCCCTGAGGCACACCATATTTAACTGGACAGAATGAAGAGACATAGTTGTTTACAGACACGCAAAACTTCCTATTTGACAGGTAGGATGAAAACCATTCTAGAGCAGTACCAGAGATCCCCACCCAGTGCCTCAGTCTGTCTAACATGATGTTGTGATCAATGGTGTCAAAAGCAGCGCTAAGGTCCAGGAGTACAAGGACTGAGCACATACCTTCATCAGCAGACATTAAAAGGTCATTGGTGACTTTAAGCAGGGCAGTCTCAGTGCTGTGGTACTTCCTAAAACCAGACTGAAACTTTTCAAATATTTTGTTATTTTCCAGCACAGTGAGCAGCTGTTTGGACACAATTCTTTCTAGAATCTTTGCAATAAAAGGCAGTTTTGAAATTGGTCTAAAATTTTGTGGGAGGGAGGGATCTAAACCAGGTTTCTTTAAAAGTGGGTTCACGCAAGCTGTTTTAAAATAATCAGGGACACAACCAGTAGATAGGGAGCTGTTGAAAACAGAGATCAAATGGGGCCCAACAGAATCTATTACTTTTAGTAAAAATTTTGTAGGTATTATATCAAGTGGGCTGGAGGACACTCTCATTTGTGATATTGTTTTTAAAAGCTCAGACAAGTTGATGGGATAAAACTGGTTAAAACTCTGTTGTTGCTGGTGAGGAACCTCTGAGTAAGAGGCCACGGGGGTAATAGAGGCTCTGATTGACACCACCTTATTGGTAAAATAAGATAAAAACAATTCACAGTCATCATTTCATAGATGCTGGGGTTCATACTGACACTGGCTTAAAAAACATATAAGCTAAACAGTGGTGTGCAAGGAATGTTTGGTCATTCAGCACCCTCTGTTGGTGCTTTGGAGGCTTTTTATGTCCATGAAACGAAAGCTATTGAGAAAGTTAACATCAGTACTTAAGTAGTGTATCTCAGCAGTGCAGTGGTTAAGTGCTTGTCCTGCAGATCCCAAGATTGGTGGTTCAAATCGTGGTCATGGCATGTTGATCCAAAACAGAACTGACAAATTATTTCTTCAAATGCATCTAGTTTTTGATGGCCTAAATGTTCTCGAAACCTTACAAAATTTTGCACACACGCCAGGCGGGTCAACAACCAATAGGAAGTCGGCCATTTTGGATTTATCATATTTGGCGATTTACAAACTCCACACTTTAATGAACTCCTTCTAGAGATTTAGTCGGATTGACTTCAAAATTTTTTTTTTTGCTGTGCAGTCTTATCCTATCGATGATTACACATTGTACAAACGGTGAGTTTTGGTCCACCGGGGGTGCCCGTGGCATGGAGTATCAAGTTATAACAACTTCCTGTTTTGTTGCAAATCATTAAGTGTACATGCTCACATCTGTACCAAACTTTATGTGATTGATAATGGTCCCATCCCCAACACATCTACATGCCAAAATTCAGTTATAGTGATAGTGCCACCGACTGGCAACAGGAAATTAGCCCTGTGTGACACTCATGAAATGAAAAGAAATTTTCTCAGTTTGTTCCACACTTGTTGTACTGGGACATAACAGTTACTGGGTGCTCCTTTGCATCACATAGAGGATACAGGAAGTGACTTTCAAGTAAGACAATTCAGAGCATTTATTATTAACTCAATACCGTCTCAGAACAACCTTGATGACATTGATGATGCCATGTTATGAAGGTTGTAAGTTTTCAGGTGACGCAGTGTCCGTGAGGTCAAAGCTCTATACTTCACCATCAAACAGGAAGTTGTTGTGACACCTATAGGCCAAAATTCACTCATGGCATAGCATCACTCATAGCGCCACCTGCTGGCAGCAGGAAGTAAGCCCTGTGTGACAAAAATCATTTGATTTACATGGTATTCTCATAGTGTGGTTGACACTTCACCTACTGCTACACAACATATTAGCAGGTGATGTCTAGCGCCACTTAGGGGACACAGGAAGTGACGCCAGGCGATCCCACTGTCTCGGCGCGGATCACGGACTGTCTATCAGACATATCTGCATGGATGAAGGCTTGCCAACTTCAACTAAACCTCTCTAAGACTGAACTCTTGGTCATTCCAGCCAAGCAATCTGTCCACCATAACATCAAACTACAAATTGACTCCTCAACCATCACTCCAACCAAGGTGGTGAGAAACTCGGGTGTCATGATTGATGACCAGCTGTCCTTTTCAGACCATGTTGCTGGTGTATCTCGGTCGTGCCGCTTTGCTCTATACAACATAATGAAAATCAGGCCCTACCTCACTCAGTACGCCACCCAGCTTCTGGCACAGGCCATGGTTATCTCTCGCCTCGACTATTGCAATGCCCTCCTAGCAGGTCTTCCAGCTTGTGCGGTGAAACCCCTACAAATGGTTCAGAACGCAGCAGCGCGTCTGGTTTTTGATCAGCCCAAAAGGACTCATGTCACTCCATTACTCAGTGACCTCCACTGGCTCCCCGTGGCCTCCAGAATCAAATTCAAGTCACTAATGCTTGAATACAGAGTGACTACTGGGTCTGTACCCATCTACCTAATATCCATAATACAAACTTACGTTCCTTCTCGGCCACTACGCGTCCCTCTCTAACTTCAAGAAGCTCTTGAAAACTCATCTCTTCCGAGAACACTTCCTCTTATAACACCTCTAACTCCTCACCTCTAACATGCACTTCCTGTGCTCTTCTTCTTCTATCCCCTACAATGATCTTGTAGTGATTGCACTTTTTGTTTTGATTGCACTTTCTGTTAACTCTTAGTTCCTTCCCTAGGTATCTACCACATTGATGTGATATGTACTGTGAGCTCTTTCTAGTATTCATTGCTGCTCTTACTAGTATGTATTGTCAGTTGTAGATCTGTAGTTGATTCTCTGTTGATGCTTGTATGTTGTTCCTCAAATGTAAGTCGCTTTGGATAAAAGCATCTGCCAAATGAGTAAATGTAAATGTCCTCCGTGCAGTGTCCAAAGCGCTTCACGTGTGAGGGCCAGCACAGTCAATTGCTTTATTTCATTACAGATCTAAACAATCAAATAGCCTACATTTTAAAGTTAATCAGTAAACTGTAGGCTAGATCAAACAATGAATGCATTTAAATAATGATTAGGCCTACTGTAGAAGATTGCAGTAGGATATCCTAAAAGTAAACTAAAAGGGAATTTTAGTTACGCTCCTGAAAATAGTACTAATCCCGTCCGCTCTCCCAGGCCCAGCCCGGCTAAACTATTCCTGGATTCTGCTCTTGCTCCTGTTCGGCTCAGCCTCCCACACTCTGGACTCTCAGCTACTGTTTCTCCCCTGCCCCTGATCTTTTGTTTCAGTGTAAAGCAACTTTACAAAGAGCGTGCGAGTGAGAGGGCCCATTGGTTAGAAATTCAGAGCTTGTCAGTGACTACTGAATTGCCCCTAGCAAAATATTAATGTAAACATTTAAATATAAATATTGTCATCAGTGTCTAGTCAATGCATTTGCTATTCAAACGTTTAA